GGGGGGGGGGGAGCTAGTCTAGATTTTGCCATTATGAGGGAGGCTTCTCTTTTACCATGTTGTAGATGTCGAATCATGTAGGCAACAGCACAGTAGGCATCGGCGGAAGCGTCGACAAAGACGTGAAGATCATAGGTAGCAAAGCTGTCGCAATCGTTGGAGAAAGGTTGCCGTCTAAATGATAATTAGGGGGCATTCCAGGATTCAGTGATTTGTAACCATTGTGCGTGTTGTTCTGAAGAAAGAATGTCGTCCCAGTCTTTCCGTGCTTTCCATAACGATTGTAGGAATAGTTTTCCCAGGAGGATCCTGGGGGTAAGAAATCGTAGAGGATCGTAAATGCTGGCGACCTCCTTGAGAGCTTTTCTTTTTGTCCAATTTCTAGGCTGTCTAGAAGACAACTGTATAAACAGTAATGGGATGGATATTTCATCTGTTCTAGTATCCCACTGAAGCCCTGGAAATTTCTGCTGAGAAGATGTGATTCGGTCTCCGTTTGTTACGAAGAAATTATTTAGGTTCTTGTCATTACTCACATATCCTCTGAGATTCATACCTGCCTTTTAAAAAGATCTTCTGAAGCTCGGTAAAAGTCCTATCCTTCTGCGACCTTTTCTACGCCATGAAATATGTTGTCTACATACGTGTTCCGGAGTAGATTTGAGGAAAGTAGCGTTTGCTGAGCCGTGAGGTGATGATGAATGGTCCCGGAGAGAAGGAATGGAGAACATATCAATCCGAAGGGTACGCGAGTGAACCGACAAGTAGTGACGTTATCGGTAAGGGCTGGTTTCGTTGGTTCTTTAGGCCATAGGAACCGCGTGTAATTTCTCGAGTTTGGGTGAAGTCCGACCATCGAGAAGGCCTTTTCGATATCGCTACTCATTAGGATTTTTGAAAGTCGGCAGCGTATCAAGATTCCTGTAAGGTTTGGGAGGAGTACGGGGCCTCTGTGAAGCATCTCGTTAATGCTCATGCTTCCTGCCGTGGTCGCCACTTGTTTTGAGTCGGACGAGGAAGACTTTTTGGAAAGTTTATTTCACCAGAGCGACAAGCTCGTTTGTTCCAGGCTTTTATATCAATCAGAAATGATAAGGATTGAAGTCATAATCAAAACATATCTCCAATATTCTAGCAATTTCGGCCAGTGAGACAAAATATAGCACAGTCATTTAGAGATGAGTCATTAGAAAGGAATCTATTTCTGTTGATTACAGAAAGTATGAGCAGACCTTATCCTACCTTTCAAGTGCGGAAAAATAAATGAAATGAATAAGATACAAATGAATAAGATACATATTGTTCGGAAGGCGCAGTACCCTCCTCATTTCGTCGTCTAATCTAGAACTCGTTAACTTCCAAGATAACCTTCGGATTATCACGATTTCTATGTAGTTTCACTAAATGGACACCCTCCCAATGAATGGGAAACTCACTGAAAACAGACTGATAGATGAATTGGAATCCGGTCTTCTGAATGACTGGATCTGACTGGAATGTAACAAGGGCGAACCGTTGTGAAGTTGTGTATAGACCAGTGGGAGTCGTTACGGTGGCATTAGGACCTCCAAGCCTGAATGAAAAACCGAAAACTTATCAAAGAAGTAGTTCGTTTTTGAGATTTAATCTAATGATTTGAATAAATTACCTTAGAATTTTGATCTGGAAGATATAAGTAATGGAAATAATAAAACAGTAATGCCTAATGAGTCTTTTCAATTATAGCCAAGATAAAGAGTAAGAATTCAATCTAAACCCTTTAGGTGACTTTGTATTCGAAAAGTTTGAGAAGTCTGCATTATCAAAATAGAGAGTAAGTGCACTTCAGCACCAACAATATCAATGATAAAGGATAAAAGGATAAATCTTTGGGCATTAATTAATCCTATCTAAGGGATGAACCCCGTATTCGACTTCCATTCAAATCGTAGTGATTTATTGAATGCGTCTGTGGCCTTCACGATGAATCGCAATGAATATTCAATGCACAATTCAGTGCTTTTATCCTCCCGAACGAGTCCAGTATCCACCAACCGCTGGTGGACTCAAGTGGATATCTATTCGGGATTCGATCCCGTGACCATGCGCGTGAGATAGTGCGCCGCTTACCACCACTCAGTCTTCGTTCGCCCTAATTATTATATTAGTAATAATAATAATAATAATAATAATAATAATAATAATATGGCTAATGAAAATTTACTGGCAAAACGCCAATTGAAAAATGAATAATATGGAAGAATGAAATCGATATCGAGAATCAAGTTTACATTGGAAAATCTGCTTACTGTACAAGTTTTGGACTTCGCATACCATTACCGTCATAGATTGTTATGTAGTCACAACAGGATTCCATGTCGAAATGAGTGAAATTGAAACTAGGAGGGAATAATTATAATCCTAATAGGTAATATAAAGCACAGCAGAACCGAGAGAGTGATGTACCTCAAAACTTTCCCAGG